CCAGGACTTGGTAGTACGGTGAAAGCATTAGGGGTGTTGATGACTCAATATTTTGATCATCATTCTGAATTCCAATCTGGATGTAGTTTTGACAAAAATATCATTCTTATTTGTTCAAAATATTGCTTTCTTTACGAAACTTACCCACATTCAAGTGTTGATAATAAAAGAATGCATAAATCTAGAAAAAGCATGGCTTATTTATTTTTATAAAGCAGAGGGTCTGTTCTTTTCTTTGATAAATTGCATGTTCAGATATTCATACAACAGTATATTCTGGGGACATGAAGTTTGGCTGGACCAGTGGTGGCTGGCAACAAAAAACATTGGAAAGAGTTAAAGTCATAATTGAGATCTTTAGCAGATATCAAAATGAAATACTGTAATATATTGTATACTGATATAGTAATACTGTACATTTTAATATTATTATTTTAATATAATTTAAATGAATACTACGACTTCAGTTGTATCATTTAAAATGATTGATTTAGTTTTTAATGTTTTATTAACTTATTCAAAATAGTGTAGAATTCGAAAATCAGCCATTCATTGGTCATATATACATAAAGAAATGCATCTCTATAATGTATTCATTCACTTTAGAAGATCATTTTAATGATCTTAATTAATTGTATTAATTCATTTTGACTATAATATGCGATTATAGTCTGGATGGTTCCAGACTATAGGATTTGACACAACCAAATGATAATTACAGACTGAACTAATCCACCTTTATACCAGCATTCAGATCTCATGTGTTCAGCCTAGGATGTGAATTGTATTTTTATTCACAATACTATATAGAGCAGTATTTTGCAGTATTGTTGATCCGCCACAGCCTAATGATTATCTGTGGTGCTCATGCAATACATGCAGTTTGAGTCTGACCCTCATTGTGTCCTGCTTAGTGAGTGATAGACTGATATATTTAGCCATTAAAATTTCAAATCTAAATTCAGGGCAATATAATGATGCATTTTTGTAGGAAATATAATCCCTCACTTCCTCCTCTCCATACCACAACTTTCACTGGCTCTTCAGTCCGCTCTCATCTGTTTGCACTACGGAGGTGAAAATGTGCCTCCATCTGTCAGCCTAGTACTGCACACACTGCTCCTGTACCAGACAGCCAGGTCATATTAGGGGCCGTCGGGGCTCTGCTGGTCCTACAGCCCTTGAGTCCATATCTCTAGGGCATAGACGCACTCCAGAGCCCCTGCATAGACCATTTCCACCCAACATATGGCTGCTATTGATAAAGCAGTGGTGAGGGAGCATTTGAATGTAAGCCAGCTCTGTGCACGCTAGAGTGGTGATGGGCTATGAGTCTGGACGTGCTGGGTCATGTGATTATAAGTTATGAGCTATTGAAAGGGGGCATGCTGCGGTGTTGTGATGGAAGTGTATTTGTGTTATAAACCTCTTGTGTTCCTATTTCCAGGTATTAAAAGTAGGCTCTGTTTTTTCAGAATAGTTCTTTCTAATAGCGTGTTTCTGTCATTGTGTCCTCTTTATGCAGTTGGAGGGGCGTTTTCCTTAGGAATCTACACCATCCTGTTTTTGAAATTGTACTCGTATAAAGATGTTAACAGGTGGTGCAGAGAAAGAACGCAAGCGAAGGCCCGCAGCCTCTCCAGATCTCTTTCATGTGAGTAAACACATCCACTCGTCATCAAACATTAGGTGTGGTGTGGTCTCTTCTGCAGTATGAAGGGCATATATATATATATATTTAGTGCACTATATGGCTAAAACTGTGATGACATTTTTGTCGCCCCCTATTAGCTATAAAAAACACTATGTTACACAATTAATTATGGCCATGGTTAATCCATAAAAATTGTTCCTGGTCTTTGTGAATTTTGGAGATCGTTCTACATTGAACAATGTGCTGTTTGTGCTATAAAAAAAAAAGGCTGAAGGAAAATGTACTCTTCCTCAAGTTGTTCAATACCTATATGTGGTTCTTAATTCTGTTGAACACAATAGAAGATAGTTTCAGGAATGTTGGTAACCAGACAGTTGACTGTAGTCATTGACTTCCGTAGTTTTTTTTTTTCCTTTCTATTGAAGTCAATGGCTACTGTCTAAACTACTGGTAAACTATTTGATTACCAACATTCTTTAAAATATCAACTTTTGTGTTCAGCAGAAGAAAGAAACTCATAAAGGTTTTGAACAACTGTAGGGAGAGTAAATGATGACTAAATTTATTTATTTTTTACTAAATTTTCTAAATTTTCACTATCCCTTTATTTTTTGAAGTTGCAAGATGGCAAAATCCTGGAGGGACAGGTTATAGGATTAAAGGAGAAGTTCCCTTTAAAAATTTAGTCACTCCCATGTCATCCAAGATATCCATGTCATTCTTTCTTCAGTCGAAAAGAAATGAAGGTTTTTGATGAAAACATTCCAGGATTTTTCTCCATATAATGGACTTCAATGGGAACCAAACGCTTCAATGTCCAAAAGACAGTTTCAGTGCAAACTGCAAGCTGTTCAAAGGGCTTTAAACGATTCCAGACGATGAATAAGGGTCTTATCAAGCGAAACGATCTCTCATTTACAAAAAAATAACAAAGTTTAAGTTTTATAAGCTCAAATGGTCGCCTTGTTCTGTTCTGTGATGCATGTTCGTGACTCTCCTGTTCAAACTCTTTCATCAAAATGAACAAATCTTTTCCAGAGTCAACTCGTTCATTTCGTTTGTTGAATGAACCAAATGACACGGAAAAAAAGATTTGTTCATTTTGATTAACAAGTTCGAACAGGAGAGTCGTGAACGTATATCACAGAACAGAGCAAGGTGACCATTTGAGCTTATAAAACTTTGTCTTTTTTTTTTTAAATATGCAATCGTTTCACTTGATAAGACCCTTATTCATCGTCTGGAATCATGTAAAAGCTCTTTGAACAGTTTGCAGATTGCACTGAAACTGTCTTTTGGACCTTGAAGTCCATTATATGGAGAAAAATCCTGGAATGTTTTCATCAAAAACCTTAATTTCTTTTCGACTGAAGAAAGAAAGACATGGACATCTTGGATGACATGGGGGTGAGTAAATTATCAGCAAACGTTTTTTTAAAAGTGAACTACTCCTTTAATAGTGATATGTCCTTGGGTTTTGGTCGAGAGTTTAATATGTTTTGCAATAAATGTTCTAATTCTTTAGCTGAATGTCAGGTTTAATTGACATTAGAAACATATTTGTTTATTTCTTTAAAAATTCCTGTGTTTTTAGGTCCATCAACTGCATCCAGTGGAATGCATTTGCAAGTGTCTTATCCAGGAAATCTCTCTCTCAGGGGTAAGTTATTTAAGCAATCAAATTTCATAGTTCTGCTTTGATGAAATACAGAATGGTGTTAGACACAGATGCTTTCACAGTCATTGTTATTTCCAATCATAATTCAAGATTTTCCTTTATTTTCATGATATCTAACTATAATTTTGTCAGTGTCAAATACTATGACCTGAGAACATGTAGGTAGTATTTTGACTTCTTTTTGTTTTCTTTTTTCAGATATGTATTATTTTGTTTTTGCTCCAACCCTGTGCTATGAGCTTAATTTTCCCCGCTCTGAATCCATCCGAATGGGATTTCTGTTCAGGAGGCTCTTTGAGATGGTAAGCGATTTGCTTGGACATATTCCTGACATAATTGACAGTTCTTTATATTGATAAGTTGTGCTACCAGATTTGATCATAGTATATTATAACTTGTTTATTTAGTGAATATTGCATTCTTGCCTAAATCTGCGAATGGCAATAAATCATTGGAATTAGCTTATTGTTTGCACACAATTGCCGGGAGTCGTGGCAGGAATATATGAGGGTAATTTTTATTTATGAAAGTGCTTCTTGTTAGAGCATTACTTTCAGCTATAGCTGTTGCAAATTAGAAATTTAATTCACACACAAATACGCACACATTCTCTCTCACACACACACACACACACACGCTTCTATTGTTAGCATTTTAGTTGTATATATAGTGAGAAATTAAAATCAGTTTGTCTCGTCTGTTACAGCTTCTCCTCACTCAGCTATTGGTTGGTTTAACGCAGCAGGTAAGCATCATAGTGCATTTGGAAATCACACCAAGCCTCAATTTTCATGTCTTTGAGACATTTCATATCTAATGTTCTTTTTAATGGTCTTTCAGTGGATGGTGCCAATCATTCGAAGTTCAATGAAGCCATTGCAGGTGTGTTCATGTGCTTTATCTTCTGTTTTCTGCTGTTGGAGAACAAGCACGCTTTAATTCTTTCATTTTTGTCAGGAAATGGACTACTCTAGAATGACAGAGCGTCTGCTTAGACTGGCAGTAAGTCAATGTTTCCCTCTCAGAATAGAAACACAATCCTCAGATGTTCAGATTTTTGCTTGCGTTGTTTTGATGAAAGAAATGAAGCATGAACCAAATTATGGAGTAAATACTGTTATCTATTTTTATACTAGGTGCCCAACCATCTCCTCTGGTTGATTTTCTTCTACTCGTTTTTCCATTCCTCAATGAACTTTGTGGCTGAGCTGTTGAGGTTTGGGGATCGGGAATTCTACCGTGACTGGTGGTGAGTGATGTGATCTTCTTTGGATGTCTTTACAGTTATTTCTCTTAGTAAAAGCTTTATTTGAGCGGCTGGGGGGGGTGCCACTTCCACACCGCACTGCGTTTGACGGGCTTTGAATGCAGTCAATCTGTTTTATATGCGCCATCTCTCCCTCTTCCACCTCCATTTCATACTGTACATAGAGTTTTACTTTCAGATGGATTGTGACACTGTGTTTCTTTTAGGAACTCCGAGACGATAACATACTTCTGGCAAAACTGGAATATTCCTGTGCACAAGTGGTGTCTCCGGTGAGTGAACGAGGGTTTTGAAAGAGACCGCAGACAGCTGTTGGGAGGCGAGATGAAATACGACACAGTAAAACTCACAGAGACTATAATGAAGAGAGACTATAATGTGATCTGTCCACAAGAAATATATGGTTATTTACAGTTCACACTGGCTGTGAGTTTATGTGCTTCTCTCTCCTGTTTTCAAAGACACTTTTACAAGCCGTTGATGCGAAGAGGTGCTGGCAAGTTACTGAGCCAATCAGCTGTATTTTTTGCCTCTGCTTTTTTTCACGAGGTGAGATATGCATAAATCACACGCTGTTTTAAATATTCTGTCGGGTCATGGCAAATGAAAGTTAACAGTCTAAGCAGGGTAACAACCTGTTTGATTTATTCTCATTTTAGAAATGTGCTACTTCTCATAAGCCAAATCAATACAGTAATATTTCTGTAGGGCTTACTTTGAATATTTTACTATTAATGCCATTAAAGGAGAACTCCGCTCAATTTTAACATTGAGCTCATTTTTTTGTACATTTGGAGTGCTATCAGAACAGACAAAAAAACGACAAAAATGTATGTTGCCTACACCATGTTATCGTCTTTTTAAAAATCGCACCCTGTTGACTTCAATGGGGCATGTTCTAAACCTGCTTTTAGCCTCTTAACATCCTTGATTTGTCATTACGAGTGTACAGCCATGTGAGTGGTGTTATTAAGAGTGACCATGGTCAGTCTGACTGCAGTAGATGTGAAAGATATGAATAAAAATTAAAAATGTGAGCCAGCTCAGCACAGTAGTCAATTGTCGATTGTAGATGTTAATATCTTTCACATCTACTGCAGTTAGACTGACCGTGGTCACTCTTAATAACACCACTCACATGGCTGTGCACTCGTAATGACAAATCAAGGATGTTAAGAGGCTAAAAGCAGGTTTAGAACATGCCCCATTGAAGTCAACAGGGTGCAATTTTTAAAAAGACAATAACACGGTGTAGGCAACACTGATTTTTTTTAGTTTTTTGTCTGTACCGATAGCACTCCAAATGTACAAAAAATGAGCTCAATGGTAAAATTGACCGGAGTTCTCCTTTAAAAAAAAAGTTAAACCATTATGTACTTACTTAAAGTTCATCTTAAAAAGATTTCATCTGTGTTTTCATGTTCTCATCCTGGCATGTTAAAAAAAAAAAGAAAAGAAAATCACTATTATATTTTTTTATGTAATCTTGAAAATTCACTTGTAACATTTAAACAATTGATTTTAGTTGTTAGTGGATTAAGTTTTTTTAGACAAAATAATATCAAATTGTAATATCAGCTATTTGTCAGTTATGAAGCTGGTTTAGAAGAAAGTATTTTAAAACTGAAACTTCACTTTAAAAAAAAAAGAAACGAACATAAATGTACTGAAATTAATAAAAGAAAAAGACCTTTTGAGCATTGCGGGAAGCAGCTGTTCTTTTGAAGCAGCTGTGGATTCTAGAATAATTTGTAAAATTTTAGATGTTCCCCACTCCCGAGGCGTCGTCTCGTTTCCCTGACTCAGAAGCAGGTGCCCGGCGTTTGGCTGGTAGCCACTGTTCTTGTGAAGGAGATGAAGGTCAGAACGAAGGGATGAGGAAGATGAAGAACATGCTCCTATCAGGCTGCTGTTCTCTGTGATAAGCTGTGAGCTGAGCTGGGGGAAGGGAGGGAGAGAGAGAAATCAGAGAGGAAGATGTGTCCAATCCGCAGGTGCAGGCAGATAGTATTCTTAACCGTCTTATTAAAAAACATTGACCTTAACAGGGCACCTCAGAACTGGACCCAGGATCACAGTAATGACTCAGAAAGCTAAGATGGAGAGTGAAGTTTCATTTCAGGAATATCTAAAACTGGAGCTGTAAAGATATACTGAAATTTTAAAAAAGACTTTATTTATTTAGGGGTGATGTGCTGAGGGTGCAATCTAGCCCTGATTTGGTGAGGGGTAACAGGAAGGCCGGTGTTCCAAGACCCCTGGAGTTCAATAGAGGTTAAGAACCTGGTTAAAGGACGCAACAGCAGTGCTCAACCCTTCAGTGCTTAATCAATATTTTATGGTGTTATTATGGGGAGTTAACATTTTCATATAACCTGACAGAGTTTCATACATCACTCTTTAGGATTTAAAGAGGACACATTAAGTGCTTTTACAAAGACTTGATTTTGTTTTGGGGGTCTACTAGAATAGGTTTCAGGCTAGAATGTCCAAAAAACTGTATTTTTCACATATTTTACATTGTTGCAGCACTTCTTTTTCCAAATCTGTCAGTAACACTCTCAGTTACGGTCTCTATGAAGTCCACATTTCCAAAAAGCACAATGTGCTCTAATTGGTTGGCTGGACCTGTGTGTTGTGATTGGTCAACTGCTTTGAATGAGTTTCGGAAATGTCATTAACCTTACTTTAACCGCGAGTTTCAACACATAACTAATGCAACTTAACCAGGCCAAGCCCCTTTTTTGGACTCCTTTAGTTGGCTTTGATAAATTGCTTGTTCTCCAAACTCAAGATTTAAAATGAATAAACATAAATGAAAAATGAGCAAAACTAAATCCTTTTAGAAACACCTTTACCTATCCATCACTCGGAAGTTTAAAGTGTTTAATGTGTATATTTATATCTCTCTGTCTGCAGTACCTGGTCAGTGTCCCACTCAGGATGTTCAGACTCTGGGCATTTATGGGCATGATGGCACAGGTATAAATATTTAATCTTTACATACAAAAATTATGTTCGCATTTATGTTCATACATTCGTGCATAAGAAAACTATATATATTACGTTTGTGATAATCATCTAAGTAGGTATATCATATATTTTTCCGTTTAAATTAAAAGAAATCTTTATTTCAGCTCCCACTGGCATGGTTTGTGGCCAGGTTTCTTCGGGGTAACTATGGAAATGCTGCTGTGTGGCTCTCACTCATTATCGGTCAACCTATCGCAGTTCTGATGTATGTTCATGACTACTATGTCACCCACAACCAGGATGACCCGACAGACACTGAAGCTCTGTAATCACACTGTAAAGCCCGATCGACTGAGTTTGATCGTGGACTCGGATAAGCAGCTACCCTTCGAAATATTGCTGTAAGACTATAGGCTACACACTAATGGTACAGGTTGGAGTACATTGATACAGTTGAAGATTCCCGGTACAGTCAGGTTTCCATGAAGTCTTCAAATAAATTCAAAGCTCTAGGCTATTTTTAGACCTTTATGAACAATATCAACAGCCAATCTATGCAAATCTTGCCTAGAACTCTAAATGGAAATGCACAAGAGTCTTTAAACTTCTGAATGTGACTCTACAGTTGTCAAGTGCTTGTTTTACAGTAACTTCACTAAATGAAACTGGACATTATCTGATGGTATATTATATGCATTACTAGTACGACTTTCTCACACTCAGGTCTGTGTCCTGTCACGTTATTAGCATTTTAACATTTTCTTACAGTTCAAATATTGTGAAAACTCCTTAAACGGACATTACGGTCTACTATACAAATATATGTGTTGTTGTTTTTTGTTTAAGTCCATAAATCTACATAATGCAATGCAATATGGAAAGAGATTATGTACAGACAGAAATGTGTAATGTTTTAATTAATGGGCTATATTTTTTAAAGCCATATGCGCACAGACACTTTAATTGCTGACCAGATTGTTTTGTTTTTTGCAAAGGGATAAGAGAAAATGTTTGTTAAATCCTAAATTTTACGTCCATTATTTTTAATCCACATTTTAAATGTAATATTGAATTGCATTTTTGTGTATCTAAACTGTTGTACAGTACACTGTTGAGATGCCATCTGCGCTCCATTACCGGCATTATAGAACCTAATCATCAAAAGTGCGCCACCCTGTGGGGACTGTTGAGAATAAACAACCCTACAAATGATGCTACTGTAGCACCGTTATTTGTTTTTTGTGGAGGCATTCATCAAGCGTAATTGTATTCACTGGAGAGAACCGGATGCATTGTAATCTCGCAGTGTGATATTTTTCACAGATCAGGCCCTTCCAGTGCAATTTGTCCTCACATGATGAGGGTGCCAGATCCTCACAATCAGTGCAAGTTTGTGATAAATGGCTTTGGAGATAAGTCTTATAATAGCCACGGGTCATATTGTATGAACGTCCTATCGTGTGTACCGCAGTGCAACAGACGCACTTCAAGAGCTTTTGCTATCTAATAGGCTGATAGTGCTTTGCTGTGCTGCGATCTGTTTAGTATACATTGCCATACATATAAAAGATTGGAATGGCCGAAGAATGATTACAGTGCAGAAAATCAATGCTGTAGCCTATATGTCACTGTTTATTTAGCTAACTAATATCTAGTTTAAAACATTCCCACTTTGGACTAAAGTTTACTACAATAATTGTATTGTAGGTATGCTGTCATTCAAAAGTTTGGGGTCAGATCTATTTTAAGATTTTTTTATTCAGCAAGGATACATTAGTGGTCATTGCCTCATCCATGGCTCCCAAAATGCACTTCACCATTAAGCATGTCACCATTGTTGATATCCATTCACAGACAGGGCTTAGTTATGGCTTTAGTTCAATTGTGACATTCAAGTTGCTTTTATAAATGTTCCTTGTTTGTATCTTAAAATAAAAATATGGCAATGACATATTTTAAGAAATGTCGGTGCAAGTTTTTTTTTTTAGTTAAAACAGTTCAAACATGTATTTTAGTCTGGGACTAGCCTTAAGCCCTGTCTGTGAAAACGGCATTGATGTCTAAGTGAGTCTAATAGACACAGGAATTAAAAATGTTGGTAACACTTTACAATACGGTATCATATATTAATATTATTTAATGTATTAACTGTTACAGCAGCCAGAGAAAAAGTAATATTAAAGAGTTGAGAGCCCAACTAAAGCAAACACCAATCACCATAATGGTGACTACAAACGAAACATTTATCGAAACATCTAAACCTATATTCTCAGTAAGAACTTCTGTAGACATATGACAGAAATAAAGTCTGGTTAGTAAGTGAAGCTGGTAATGCACGTGGGGTTGTCGACGTCCAGTGCCCGCTTCCTGCTAAAATCATTATAAGAATGTTGGGATCATGTTTTTTAGAATGTTTTTAAAGCATGTTATCCTACCTTTTAGGAAAACGTTAGGAACAAAGATAAAATTTACCACTGAAAACATTCTGATTGCACGTGAAGGAAGCATTAATATTTGTTAAAAAAAAAAAAAATGTTACAATGTGATGATTTCTGGTTGGATTGTTCATATCTTGTTTTGTTTTTGTTTTTTCAATTTTTATTCACCTCTGGTAAGATGACTTGAGGTGTGTGGGTCATTTCCAGCGCTCTGACGGAACTGTCAATTCTTTTGCAATTGCAACAGAAGAGAAACAGAGACACTGGACATTGATGTATTATCCTACAGGGAGGAGATGACGTTTTTTCCACTCTGAAAAAGGTACCCTGTGTTCAGCTTTATGTTATACAGTTCAGCACTCAGCAGATAATTGGCCTGTATTCAAGACGTTCACTCCCTGTGAAATTCTGCCCGGCAGCCAAAAACAGTGTTTAAAATATAAAGCACAATAAAGTTTTAACCACCCAAATTCTTTCTAATCAAGCATCTGAGACACTATTACATGAATTCTCCTTTTATACGAGTGTTTATCTTTGTGTTTGAACCAATTTATTGCCTATTATCTTTAAAGGGGCAATTATGTTTAAAGATAAATGTGTATATAAAAAGTTGTCTGCAGCGTGTTTCATTTTCAATGGAAACCTCATTTCAGCCTTTTAAATGCATTGTCACACTTTTACCTATATTGATTTTTTGAACCAAGAATCAGAACAAAAGCAGTTGACGTGCATAATTAGTTTGACTCTATTTAATTGTTATTATTTATATTTATATAATTATCGTCCATGTTGAATTTATGGCAAAAATGTTTGTCACGCTATATGGATCATACGTTGTCACGGTGGAACCTGCCACAGAACAGCGATATGTTTTTCAGCAAAATTTAAACATTAAAACAGTTATCAAACAAATCTATTTACGAATCTCTGTTGTCATCACGACAGACGCCTCACTCACTCGCATGCCAGCAGTTTGTTTTAGAATACAGTTTAAGATTTTATTGTTTGTTTTTAAATCTCTTCATGGGCAAGCTCCAGCTTACATTGATGACCTACTGATGATGCATGCTCCTCTGAGGTCATTAAGGTCTGCTGACCAACTACTCTTGGCTGTTCCTAGAACAAGACTTAAAAATCGGGGAGATCGAGCTTTCTCAGTCGTGGCCCCTAGGCTGTGGAATGATTTGCCTATCTGTGTTAGGGTAGCCCCCAGTGTTGAGACTTTTAAATCACGTCTTAAAACTCATCTTTATTCATTGGCTTTTAAACCAGACTGAGAGTAAATCTGCTTTTTGTTTTGTTTTGTTTTGTCACTTGTTTAATTGTGTCTTGTGCTTTTTGTCATGTGTTTTTAATTTTTGTCTAAAATTATCTCCGTGTTCAGCACTTTGGCAAACCTCGGTTGTTTTAAATGTGCTTTATAAATAAAATTGTATTGTATTGTATTGTATTGTATGGTAGCTCAAAACAAGGGCTTTATCCCATTCTAAAATCCATGGTCATGTTAAGGGTCCCTCTCTAGGGGCATTTTGTCAACGTCTTTACAACGGACGCCTCACTCACGGCCTGGGACGATATCATGGTGGTTGCCCAGGCCGCCCTTCATCTCTTTTGGTACATCAACCGCCTAAAGATGAGGGTTTTTTTCCCCCGATCTCAGGGGCTATCATGCATTAGTGTGGATGGACAGCTCATCAGTAGTAACCCAAATTATAACCAAGGTGGGATGCATGGATACCCCTAGTTCAGGCTAGTGCAGCAGATCCTGCTCTGGGCACATTTAAACTTCTCTCCCTGTGGGTAGTTTACTTCACAGGACACCCCAGTATGGGAGCAGACATCCTGTCAAGACTGAAGCCCAGGGATTGGCGACTCTACCCTCAAGTAGTGGAGTCCATTTGGCAGAATTTGTCAACCCGTACCCTTTGGTTCTCTTTCTATCCTCCAGCTCATCTGGGATGTGGCCGAGGTTGCGTCTGTACACCTTGAGTTACTTCAAGAGCCTTAAGCTACCTTTAAGGGGCTTGTTTCTTGTCCCGCGGTGTCCTGTTTCTTGTGCGGTGCCAACCAGTTGGCGTCTATCTGCAGACCTTTGGTTCTTTCAAGAGATCTCTAAATTGTATTAAAAGGGTTGTCAGTTACTCCTATTGAACCCTTAGGCTTTGTCTCCACCAAACAGTTGTTTTTTTTTTCCCTGTGGCTAGCTTATTTTTCCTTTTTTTTTTTTTCAATGGGAGCTCCGTGTTTTTGAAATGCCCGGAACGTAACAAGGTGATGAGATTGTATGTGGTAGATTACATACCCATCCATTGCATCACCTGACTTCCTATGTCAATGATTTGTCGTGTAATACTGTTGTGACTCACCGGCCCGTTGTGTCTCATTCCCATTCTCTGGAAACCCACTGTAAAAAATATATTTTCATGATTTGTAATCACAACATTTTTTCTTTTGTCAAATCAACTTAAATAATTTATGTAGTTCAGGTAACACAATATTTTGAGTTTCTGGTGATTAAATCAATCTCCTTCATTGTATTTTTCCATTTCAATGAACAGGCAACAAAACCAAAAATATTTTTTTTTTAATAGTTTTCCCATAAGTGTACATTTGTAACATTTAAAACATCTGAAAACTTGCCCCATCCTGACATTTATGAAAAATATAAAGTACAGAATTCCCAAAAAATAATTGTTTAAATTTAGAATGAAGTGTTTGTGTAATTACCCTTTTTTTCTCTAAACTGTACTTGTCTTTTTTAGTATAGTAATTGAGTTATTATTTGATTTTTTTATTATTCAGTACCACCAGGTCTCAGAATCATTTTGAATAACGTGTGTGACTTTCAAAAATTTACAGGCATATTGTAAATGCCAAATACAAATATGAGTCACATGCTTCCAATGCTGTTAAACAATGTTGAGACAAAGGACTGCACACCGTTCCAATTATTCAAACTCACTCTCAGTCAAATTTGAACTTAGCTTAGACTTCATATCTTTAGTTGGAGAGATTTCGGAAACATCAGGACAGAGACCTGGCAGTTGGTGATGGATGTGTTTCCACACAGGAAATGTGGAAAAAAAAGTGTCGACAAGTACAGCAGAATTAATACATCCTGTTCTTTTATTTTAGCTATCTTGCTGGCATTCTGACACCTTAAAAAATCATTTCCAGGACTTTTATCAAGCAGTTTATCAGTTTTATCAGTTTATCAGTTTCATCAGCAGTTTATCAACTTAGAAATTAGCAAGTATACTGCAAGTATATGCATTATTTATTGTTTTTCCAGCTGCAGTGCTATTGTAAAATTTAAGGCTGTTGTAACATTGTATTTGAATTTTATTTCAGTAAACCAAACAACCACAATGAAGAGTGTCATATTCCAGAATCCTCTGTTTGTAATGTCAGGGTTTATCCAAACTAACTCAAACTTCCTGTGAGCCAGAGGATGAAGGGAGGGAAAGAAAGAACAAGAGTGAAACAGAGAGGGACAGAAAGACATGCAGCACAGACGAGGTGGAGAGATGTTCTTCTTTTTGCCCCTTCAAGGTGAAGAAGTTCAACATGTCCATAGCACAAGGGATTTGGTTTTCATCATTTAAGGTTCTTTAAGAGGTTCAGGCGGTATTTTATGGTCTAATCTGAGTGTCAGTTCTGTGGCCTTCATCACAGCATTTCTGTTTCACACTTCTCATCCTTCTATATGTGTAGGTAAGCAATTACTGTGTGTTGTGTGGGATTACTGTGCATTTTGCATTATTACATTATGCAATTTTTGTTTTGCTTTTATTGATTTTCATGCCATGCCATTGTTTGCAATGCCAACTTGATTTTTTTTTATCTTAAATGTGTAAACAGTTCTTTTATGTGAGAAAATAACTAATCACCAGGTTAATAAATCTACTTAGCCATTTAAAAATATATGATTATTTAGACAATTAAAGTTAGTTAGCGTCTAACTAGAAGTGCAAATAGCAAAATAAATGTAAATATAAATATGGTTTTAGAAGTGCAATGTTATGAGTTACAGAAGCAGAGACCATCTCAATGCAATTGTCTGAATCTAATATGAAAAGTATAAACACAGAAGGTGCGTTATACAGATTGAGGTATAGTGACCATAACAGTGAAAGTGGCATCAAGAGGTATAGAATGGGCTAAGAAATGTGCAAAAATATCAAGAGGCATAATAAGAAACATTGTAAATGTGTAGTATGGAGACAGTTTACAGTGCAGTTTCTCATTCTCTCTTTATATCTGAAAGTCTATATTTCAATGACAGCAGACAGAAGGAATATAGTTATATAGAGGTCACCACCTCTAAATAAACATCATAAATAGTTGATGGCCTTTTTTATACTTTAAGGTATGTTTTACTGTCAGAGTGAAACTGACATAAAATCAGTGTTTTAAAGAACAAAGTCAAAAGTTGTCAATTTTAGAGGAAAGTACAGTAGCTTAATTGAAATTATGCAACAGTGCTTGACGTTGTTCAAATATTTAAATTCATTCTGTGGAGTTTAGTCTCTGATATCTAAACAACATTATTTTGGTCAATAAGAATTGTATATTGTTCTGTCGTTTCAATTAAGATGTAAATTGAGCAGAGGCCCAAGTAAATAAACATGCAAAATAGTCTGATGCCTTTAGATGCTGCTCAGAATTCATTCGCGTAATAGTGGGATAGACGTCTATTCCCACGAATCTCAGTATCCAAACAAATCCTTCCCATTAGCCTTAATTGTAAACATCTCATTCTGAACACCATCTGAACTATGCCAGACCGTGGGCACCTCTTCGTCAGAGGCTGTTTGTTTATCGGGCTCATTCTTCCTGCGATGAAGGAGAGCATATTTGTTTTTGCAGGCAATTTTCCATTATGCCACATTGTACCATGTGACATGGGTTTGAGATGTAGACATTCGCAGTCTTAAAACTGTCAATTATTTTAGGTCCTTGCATACCAAAACATGACCAATGACATGTTTGAAATAGCCAACTATATTAAATAGCATTCTATCTACTGCAAGAGTATACTGTGTATATACAGCAGACAGTTTGCAACTATAAATGTTATATACTAAATAAAGCTGGTACATGCAAGAATGACTTATTGTTTTAAAAGATATTAATTAACTAACTTTTAAAACTCTACCCATCTGAGCACTGAACTATAGTCTGTGATCCTAAAAAGTTACAATCTTTATTATTAATAAAAACAAATATTTATTTACTTATATTTTACTACATACAAATTGTGCACCTCAACTTCTCTTTATTTCATTTTTAATTATTTATCATCTGCACTGCAACCGCTTCTCACTTGTGCTGAATGGATGTGTGGGTGGTTAGGCAAAGTTTATTTATATAGCACATTTCATACACAATGGTAATTCAAAGTGCTTTACATGGAAGAAATTCAAATAATCAAAACAAATAAGAATAATTTAAACAGTTGAGAATTAAAAAAATAAGATAAAGCACAGTATAAAAACAATCGGACGAACAGTGGCACAGTGCTCATTCAGTAAATGGATAGCTAAACAGATGTGTTTTGAGTCTGGATTTGAATCTGACTACTGTAGGAGCACATCTGATCTCCTCTGGAAGCTGGTTCCAGCTGCGGCTGGCATAATAGCTAAAAGCAAGACTCTCCATGCTTAGAGTGCACCCTTGGTATTTCTAGCTGATGTGATCCTACACTGTAAAAAAATATTTTTTGGTTAAGTAAATACTAGTGAAAAAACCCAATGTAATTTACTTGAAAAAGTTAGTTCAGGCAAGAATTTAAAAAAACTAAGTAAATTCCATATCAGTACATATTTCAAGCGAGTATAAATGAAAGTGTAATATCAACTCAATAAAATTAAGTAAAAATTACTCAACTTTTCTGATACTGGGGTTCCCATCATGCACTGGACCTTGAATAATTAATGAGGTTCATTTTTCACTGGTTTCCAGCTGTATTTACACTGTTTTATCATTGATTTTTGTTTTCAGTATTAGTAAATTGCCATTTTGTGACATTTCGAGTAAATGTTTTGCTTAAAACGACACATTCAAACACAAAAACGATCCATCAAATGTTACCACCATTGTGTATTGTCTACCAAGTATTGAGGTGTTTGCATTCACATAAGGCTTAAAGTCTGACATGATGTATATATAAATTACTTAGATGATCTAAGTAAAGAACATACTATAAATGACTAATAAAATTCAAGATAATTGTTTTAGTGAAGTGTAATACAAAGGCAAAGGAAATCGGTATTAATCAACCTTTTACAAGCCGAGTTAAAATTACTTATTTTTTGTAAAGTTTACTTAATTCCACATTCCAAGCAAATTTAACTTAAAGATTTCTAATTAAAGCTACTGATAAATATGTTTAGGTTTTTACTTGGCAAATCTTTGTAAATTTACTAGCATTTTCTGAGTGAGATCGTTTAGCAAGGTTTTTTCAAGTAAGTCCTACTCCAAATTTTTTACAGTGTAATGATCTGAGTGATCTGTTTATATTCTGTTGACTTCATCAATGCATTGGCTCAGGGAGTCAATGGGGCTGTAGTCATTAGGCGATAGGGCCAAGTAGAGCTGTGTGTCGTCTGCATAGCTGTGGTAAGCAAATTTTGTTCTTTGTCATTATTTGGCTCATTGGGAGCATATACATATTGAACAGCAGTGGCACAAGAATTGAGCCTTGAGGACTCCAAGTCATGGATGTCCACTCAGACTTATGTTCACCTATATTCACATAATAACCTCTCCCTTCTAAGTATGACCTGTCCTGAACCATTTAGACTATCCCAGAAATCCCCGTTTTCCAGCCTGTCAAGAAGTATGCTGTGATCGACAGTGTTAAATGCAGAGGTGGAGAAGTACCAGTAGGCCTACTGATAATTTTCCTGTATTAGTATTTAAGCAAATTTTATTTATTATCTTTATGAGCGCTGTCTCTGTGCTGTGATGCGATCGGAAACCAGATTGAAAATTGTCAAAGTATCCATTCAAACTTAAGAAGACATTGATTGAAGACAACTTTTTCAATGATCTTGCCTATAAAGGAAGATTTGAGATTGTTAGTTGCGAATTGTTCTTTTTCAGGAGGGGCTTGACAACAGTTTTCTGGGAGTTTGGACATTTCTGTTGTTGTGTTTTGTGGGTTTAAATCTCACAGATCATTTCCAGCATGTTTGGGGAAAAATAAATGCGAACCAACATTGGTACAGCAGGGTGTCCTGCAAGGGTCTGTAATATAATATAATATAATATAATATAATATAATATAATATAATATAATATAATATAATATAATATAATATAATATAATATAATGTTGCCTGATCATTCGAAAGTTGATGCATCTCTTGATGGAAATAAATGTTGCTATGTATATTGCATCAAGAGGTGCATACATTTTTGGCCAAGATCTTGTATTGACAATGGAAGAGCCAAGCACTCTGTGTAGTCTGTTTCTTCTTTTTTTTTTTTTTTTTTTTGCCGGGCGGTGTATAATAATCCATTAATCATCATACTATGTTTGTTAATGATTTACTGATGAGTTAATATAAAGTTTTAGCAAATTTTCTTGAACTCAATAGTCAAAAACTACCATTCTACTTTTTCTTTGAATGAACAACTTTAAAAATTGCATCTTTTGTGATTGAAATTTTTCCTTTGTGTGTTTTTTGGGGCAGATCCAGCCCCCAAACTCCAAAGATGACCCTTACAGAGATTTCATCAAATCTGAACCTCACATCAACATCGACTCCTCCCCTAACAACCAATACTTCTCCACCATACCGTGAACCTTATTTACACAGACTGGCTCACTTGGATGAAGGTCTCTATAATGAATTTTACAGCCTGTGGATAGCCCTGGTGGTCATCAACACGCTTATCTTTATGGTAGGGATGACCCTAAACAGTCTGGCTTTGTATGTCTTCTGCATCAGGACCAAGCCGAAGACTACATCAGTCATCTACACCATTAACCTGGTTGTGACGGACTTGTTGGTTAACCTTTCCCTCCCGACTCGTATCGTATTGTACTACAGTGGAGGAAAGTGCCTCAACTGTTCCTACATGCACATATTCAGCTACTTCGTCAACATGTACTGTAGCATCCTCTTCCTCACCAGCATCTGCGTGGATCGCTACCTAGCCATCGTTCAGGCTGAGGCCTCGCGGAAGTGGAGGAACCCCGGTGTGGCCAAAGCAGTGTGCGTCTGCATTTGGCTGTTCGCCATCGTCGTGACCTACTCGCTTCTCACCACGGCTTTCAAGCACTCAGGTTGCCTCTCCAAACTTTTCACTCTGATCGTATTCGAGTTCTTCCTCCCAATGGTGATCATCGTGGTGTTTACTATTCGCATCATGTGCGCCCTTTCCAGCCCGGGTCTGATGCAGCAGAGCCGCGACAGACGCATGAAAGCCATTCAGCTGCTGTCGACCGTGCTGGTGATCTTCACCGTCTGCTTCACACCGTTTCACATCCGTCAAGTTCTGTTTTACTTCCATCCTGATCTGCCTCATCATGTGATTGTGTACCATGTGACCGTCACCCTCAGCAGCTTAAACAGCTGCCTGGATCCTGTGGTCTACTGTTTCGTCACCACCAACTTTCAGTCTACCATGAAGAGATTTTTGAGGAAGATAGAAAGAGAGCAGACGAGTGGAGATATTATCAGCATGCAGAAGAGCTCAAAGGCTTCAGGCACAGTGAATACCACAGATAAAAGTATAAGGATAAACATGAGCCTTGACCAGCAGGGAATCCGACCTGCATAAGGGAGCGTACATGTACAGTATTCAGATGGTTGCAATTACCATGTCATATAGCTACTAAAGCAAAACCACGGCATCGATGAGACTTAGTTTTTTCTGTGTACTGTAAATACGTAATGTATTGATTTTATGAGCTTGCATTTCATTTCACATGTGACATTGTTTGTAACTTCAACAAAAGCAACATGGCGACACAGCATTTTTAAACTTGAAGTGTTTTAGAGCAGGGGTTTTAAAAATGTTGAGGCCAAGGACCCCTTAAAAAAGGCAGACGTATACCGTATGCAACGCGCGTATGAAGACACATGAAGGTTTATATTATTGGCTATCATATTGTTACTGTACTGAAGCCACAAATTATTAAAACATAATCTAGAAAATATTGTATTTATATCTACTGTATCTTTTTTATGACCAGTATTAGAGTGTATACTATTGTTCAAACATTTAGGGTCGATACGTTTTTGTTATTGCTTTTAAAATAAGTCTCTTGATTTGATCAAAAACACAATAAAATCTTCTGAAATATGATTACAATTTAAAATAACTGTTTTCTGTTTTGATATATTTTCAAATGTAGTTTATTCTTATGATGGCAAAGCTGAATTTTCAGCATCATTACATCCCACAATCCTTCAGAAATCATTCAAATATTCTTATTTGGTGCTTAAAAACTTTTCTTATTATTATTAATGTAGAAAACAGTTGATTAATAATTTTTTTTTTTTTTTTTTTTAAACTGTGATATTTTTTTCAGGATTCTTGATTAACAGCGTTTATTTGAAATATAATTTTTGAATGTAGAACTTTTGGTCAAATAATGGGTTCTAGTTGAATAAAAATATTAAGTTTTTTAAAACTGACCCTCTTTTGAACTGTAGTGTATACCTGCGGAGAAACATTTTTTTGTTTTTGTTTTTTACTTTCAAATTTTCCATGGACCCCACACTGTGGCCCCCTCTGGGTCCCCAGATTGAAAATATACATAATAAATATATTAATGTAAAAACATTAAAACGTTTTGTGTCATAAAATCCTTTTTAGAACTTCTGTGTAAAAAAATATAAACAAATAACTAGATTTGATGCTTAGCAGCAGGAGGGGTAGTTAGTTAAATGTAGCTTGAGGTACAATGTGCAGGAATTTTCTCCAACAGGGGTTGCTAATCTCTCACAATAACAAAAGCATATAATGATGACATATATTCCGCATTAAGCGCAAGTATGTATCTTGTTGTCAAGCTAATAAATATTTTATGGATGAGTGAATACACTGATGTTTTTAACATGACTGTGGTATGAAGTACGACTGCTAGACATATACCAGTGCCACACGCAACGTGAATCCTGCGGATATAAAGGACATTTCAGTCTACCCAACTACACACAAGTTGAACTAAATAATATTGATTAGTTTTATGTACATTTGCCCACCTATCGAATAAAGCAGGCTATTCATGCAACACTTGCGTCTCTGTCAAGTCGAAGTTAGTCGCGGACGAGGAGTTCTCGGCATCTCGAAAGATGTTGATCTTCGTTTTAGTCCTGTTTTTGTCTCAAAGTCTGCTTACCATGGTCCATAATGTTTGGACAAAACAACAACAGCGTGAGCGTCTTCGACCGGAATGGCTAAAATGCTAACTCACTTCCGCATTTTGGCCTACAAAGTGACATCAAACTGTAACTTCGGCTCTCTATTTTCTCATGATTTACAAATAGTTGGAAACATTTGGGATATTGTAAGTAATCAACAAAACCAAATATATAACATTGGCCTAGTGGTTTTTGGATATTTTACTGCAAAAATCCTGCAGAGAGAGCAACATGGGCAACATCATATACGCACCAAACAACACACTTTGAAATGTTGCTGTTTTCATGAGTAGTTGGGTGACCCTCCCCCTAGACTAAAAAAGTTGGATGACCCTCCCCTTAACAAACAATAAAAAGACATGACCCTCCCCTATTTTCCTCCAGTGGTCCATTCCATTAACACCGAACGTCACTAAATAAAACCAAAGCCTGTCTACGATATATTAGACCATATTACTACCACATTAAACATTCTCTGATAAAACTATTCGTTCACATAATTTTAACTACAGACTGAAGTCCAGAAGAAAAAAGGGATCAAATTCTAAATCAATGCTTGAATAGAGTTTTTTTTTTTAAACAATTCAGGCTGGACTAGTTGCCGTAGCCTACTTAGTAGAATAACACATAGCCTATCTAATCTGTCAAATTAAGGTTGTCAACCTGCCTTATTTTGTTGCATAATTATAGTATTTTATTATCAAATAGCTACCACTTTAAGAGATATCAGTTGTGTGTTTATGAAATTATTAAATCGGAATGACAAGTAATAATTCATAAATGATATGACCTTGAGTTCAGAGATTTTGACAGCTATCAGCGAGATTACATCATTGCTGAGTAGACGAGGGGGATTTGTTGCCCTAGAGTAGACTGTAACGACTGGCAACCTCGAGCAGACAAAAGATGCAGTAGACATCCGCGACCTGGGAGCAGGTACATTTTTCTCTTTAACATCTTACTCCATTCACTTGTGTGGAAGCTGAGTTTCCTTCTCTATCAATAAACGAAGATGTCTTTTATGAATCGAACCGCTCGTCGAGCTAGGAAAGTGAAGGTATCTTCTAAATTTACTGTAGAAGCAAGTTCATTTAGCAGGCTAGCAGTCCAGGCTAACAGACGTTAAACATCAATCAGACTGACGATTCATATAAAGTTCTGCGAAATCCCAAATGCATAATAATAACTTCGCTCGCTCTTTCCCAGTCAGATCACTTTACCCTCACGATAAATAAAGTTGGTTACATAGTGTGTGTATAAAGTAAATCATCTACAACACTACACAGATGATCTGGCAATCCTTTGAATCCAGGAAAAAATCACACAGGCGACGGGGGATTATGGATTTGGTGGATGTTTGTAGCATTTTTTTCTCAGACAGCATGTTGTTTGTGTCTAACATTGATATCTCGCGTTGTTAACTGAAATTGACTGGATTTAATGTTAGGTTTTCAGGCTTATTTCCAATAACAAACAGGAACCGTACAAGTTTGGGCATGATCTGAGCTCCATCACAGGCTTGTTCTTCTTAAAAGGTCTGCACGTGATTCGGCGCAAGGCACCTCTCAGTCATATCGTCATGCATCTTCCTACTATAAAACAGTCATGTCAGCCTCTGCTCTGACAGATGTGTCCATTCGCACACCTGACTTGTAACAGCAGGTCTGGATTCAGTGGGCTGCTCTGGGGTGAATGTTACCTGTCAAAAGCGTCTGGGTGTAGCGTAGCCTTATCAGTTCAGTGCACATGGGAGGGGCAGTTATCACGGGAGTCTAGTGTTGCCAGCAAGTAAAACTAGTGACGTATCGTTTTTTTAACACTGTCACTGTACGTGTTTGTTCTGTAGCCCTTCTGTTGTATGCCTGCTTCACTTTACCCGAGACAATATTTTTGGGTTTAAGGGATTTAGCCATCAAATGAAACACGTGCTACATGAGGAACGAGGTAGGATATGTTTTTGATTCTTACACATACACGTGTTAAAATAATTTATAGCCCTATAGCAACTTAGTGTCGCAGTATTGTGTAATGCTAACTCAATTAAAACGACCTTTGGAACTTTACACACTTGCTGCCTTTACCATAGGACTGGAGGACTAAACTTAAACATTCTAAAACTTAAAATATATTCTTTTTGCAAATGTGTTTTATAGACTACTCTGTAACAACATTTTTTAACATTGTTTTAGAGCTTGTGCTTGGATAAGTACCTTTCTGTTATCATTGGTAATCCACACAAAAAATTGGCACATATTACGTTTATTTTACACATAATCTCTTTATAAATATAATTTTGGCTATTTTGTGTTTAAAAAAATCTTTAAAATATATTAAACCTTAGGTTTGGGGCACCAAAAAAAGATATTAAAATTTTAAATTAATTAAAAAATATGTATGGTTTGGTTTTATATAATTTGGGATGCATAATTTTATGAAGTGTAATAGTCTATAAATTGTGTTATATCATGTGCAAAAGCAGATAAGTGTTTTTGTACTTTCAGTTAAAGGGATTCTCCCAAAAATGTATGAATGTGAATGAAGCACTTGTATAAATTTCATTCTTCTGCTGAACGCAAAAGAAGATACTTTTGAAGAATGCCAGTTACCAGTTTATGGGACCCCATTGACTTCTATTGTGCGTGTTTTTTCCATACATTGAAAGCCGATGGGGTCCATCAGCTCTGTTTGGTTACCCATATTCTTTAGAATATCTTTTGTGTTCAGCAGAAGAAAGACATTGTTACAAGTTTGGAACAACTTGAGGGTGAGTAATGGTGAAAGAATTTTTTTTCATTTTTGGGTGAACTATCCCTTTAAGGCTTTAAAATGTTCTATTAAGAATAAGTATCAGCGTTCTACTATCTTTTCAGTGCCTATTCCCTATTTTAGTCACTTCATTAGGATTTCTCCAGGGATTACAGATATGCCAAATATGTCATGCTTTGGGTAAAACTATGTTTACTGTTATAATGCCAGGTTTGTTCCCATCTTGTTTTTCACTAACATTTTTTCCACTGCCTTGATCTTTCTGGATATCAGTTTTATTGCCAAGACCCTCTCTCTCTCGCTCTCTCACTCTCATTCACTCTCTCTTTCTCCTTCTCATCTAGATTAATAAGTAATTCCATGGAGGCATACAGAGGAACATCCACCTGTTCTGCTCTCCATGCCCTCCCCCTTTTCCCGTTTTCTTTTCAAGAAAACATGACTTGTGAATTACACCAACAAAGCTCTATATTGACTGGTATTCATTACAACGGCTGGTAGACCTCTCACTAAAATATATGGAACAACATGACCTCTCTGTTGACTACGGGTTAGTGTTTTGTAATAAGAAAACTGCTGTGGATTATGAAAGAACAACTTGGAGGTCTTAAGCAAAATAGTCTGTACTTGTGAGGGGTAAGTACCACAGGAATCTGGATCAGGACCCCACACCAGCATCGTATATGCAGGCCAGCATGGCACCCAAGAACGCTGTCACTGAGTCCATTCCAGTCCTGGACCTGGCAGTCATGCAAGAGAAGGATCCAAATGGTGGGCAAAACATGGAGAGGGAAGTGGAGATGTCAGAGGACTCGGCCAGTGAGGATTCTGTAAACCACATCCCCAAGCGGTTATGGGTCATGCACGGTGCCGTCATGTTTGGGAGGGAGTTCTGCTACGCCATGGAAACAGCGCTGGTCACTCCTGTGCTGTTGCAGCTAGGTTAGTAATCAACCGCTATTTCATCAACAAAACTGTCACTCCAAACCTGTGTGACTTTATTTCTTCTGTAGATCACAAAAGAAGATATGAAGAGTTCAGATGCAAAAGCCTCTAAATGCCATTTGAAATTTTCTTCTTTAATGATGATTTTTATCAAGCTTGTATATTTAAGTTCAGTAATTTCACTTAAATGGCAATGGTAATTACCTATTAATTGTTATTTAAGTGAAATTACTGAACTTAAATATACAAGTTTGATAAAAATCATCATTAAAGAAGACAATTTCAAATGGCATTTAGAGGCTTTTGCATCTGAACTCTTCATATTATGAAAACTGTTGGTGTTTTTGGCTACAAAATGAAAGTCAATGAGGTAGTGTTGTTTGTTTTGGACCCCATTGACTTTCATTGTATGAGCAAAAACATTCTTCAAAATAACATCTTTTGTGTTCCACAGAAATAAACTCTATTAAAACACTATTCTTTTGACAGACATGTTTGTATAATTTTTTCCTGTCACTATAATGAAAGCATTTAGAGCTTTTTAACATTCTTTTGATTTAAATAAAGCATGGGAAATACTGATGTAACCAAAACAGGCACATTCTCATGCACATTTTTTTTTTTTTTTAGAAAAGTCTATTTTGGCAATATCAGGTCTGCACTTTGTATCCAACTTTTTGTACCTTGTAAATTGAATGAGTCATGGCGTCTGATGTCATTCGCTTCCAATTATTTTTAGCTGTACAAAACAGCTTGTTAATGCTGCTTGAATTGCAAATATTATATTATTTTAATGTATTGTCGTAATTATAAACACAATAATTTGTAGTGAGTAGTTTTACTATTTGCTGCACTTTTTGTTATTCTAATTATTTGTAACCACTAATGAATTGGAGGTCTTGCACATTCATAGAAGGTAGTTTACTTCCAAAAATAAGCAAATAAGCAAAAAATAAGGTCGAGAGGTATACAGTTAATGGGTGATTTAGTGGGGGTTTTTTTTGTAATTATTCTAGGATTAAGACCTCTATTCATAATCATTGAACAGGGACATTCCTTTGGTTTTGGTAAGGGTTCCCCATTGTGTCAATGCCAACCCTGTGTCATAGTAGTAAGATGAAGGAATGCTTGTTTCCACAATAGCATGCAAAAATGGACGAGGGTAGGCATGGAATTCAGAGAATGTGTGAGTGTGCGGCTGCAGTTCTCTTTCTCTCGGTTTTCCGTCCATTTTGAATAAGGTCAACAGATCCTCTCAGGAAACTGCAGGGTTAAAATTACAAAAGGTTTGAATAGCTCTGATGGCCCTCTGATCTCATACCAAAAGCAGATACAAATATAATACAAATAACAGATAACAAATATACTGAACATCATCCAGTAAACTCTAAAAGGGCATTTTCCCAGAAGATTTGGCATATCGTAGCCCAAATCACTTTTGATGAAAATTTTGATGAAAAATATATGCATCCCTTAAAATCTCAAATAGCCTACTTGATGAAAATAGGTTAAAAAAAAAATAAAATAATAGACAATCAACCATAGTCTGTTATTTGCGTAAAAAGGATCAAATCCTCTCTGGTGATGGCTTAAATGCAGTGGGTATTGACAAAACTATTCTAAAACTACTAAAACTAAGTTACTAATTTATGACTAAAACTACATCTGTTTTATGTTCTGACCCTGGAGAGTTGTCAGTGTTATATTGCTTTATAATACAGGCTGATTACTTCATACTTAATACGGCACCTTATCCTGATCTAGATTGTTGAATAGATTGTTGTTCATCTTTAAAGCTGAAGAGTTATGATTTGACTTGTGACCTGTCTGTTGTCTGCACTTTCTGTTCTCACATTCTCAGTCTGCATCCCACTTCACTCATGACTTGTTATTTCGCATATTTGGACTTCTTGAAAAAAATACTTTGTTTGACATTTTAAGTTTCACTTGAGTAATCAAGTGTTTGGGTTTTAGTATGTCATCAGTCCCGTGCCAGACTAGAACATGCTCGACTCATGGAAAATTCCTACAGCTGTTATTGTTAAAACTAGTTGCTTTGAGCCATTACCTCCAAATCATGTCAAATACTCCCCAGTTTTCCCACGCCCTTTTTATTTACTCTGAGTCATCGCATTTGATAATAGTTTTATTGTTAGAGGCAATGTGGTTGCTTCATTACTATGAAACAGTTTTAGATCTGTTGTGTGAAAGGTTTAATGAACTGCAGTATGCTGAAACTCGCCTAGTCATCTGTTTCAAATGATGAGAGTTGCTATAGTTGCCATATTGGTACATTTCAACAAACTGTTTTTTAAAAATGTCGATCTGCTTGAACCTTGGAAATGTTTTGATTGTGGTCCATTTCTGCTTGCAGGTCTCCCAGAGCAGTATTACAGCTTAACCTGGTTCCTCAGTCCTATTTTGGGTTTAATTTTCACCCCTCTGATTGGCTCAGCAAGTGACCGCTGCACTTTGAAATGGGGTCGGAGGAGACCCTTCATTTTGGTGCTGTGTGTAGGATTGTTAATAGGACTTGCCTTATTTCTCAACGGATCTCTTATAGGTAATACTACTATTTTATGTATTCATTTATTACTTAAACCTAATTGTATAATATTGTTCATGCACATAGTTGCATGCCACTGTTACTTAAAGTCTCACTAGTCCCATGACTATATATATAAAAAATACATCTTTATTTTGCCCTATGCTTATTTTAATCTGTCTCTCAAACAGGTCTGTCTTTGGGTGACGTCCCTGGTAATCAACTGTTTGGGATCGTGCTGACTATTGTTGGTGTGGTGGTTCTGGACTTCTGTGCTGATGCTTTGGACGGACCAATCAGAGCCTACCTTCTGGATGTGGCTGATACTGAGGAACAGGATGTGGCTCTAAATATACATGCTTTCTCAGCAGGTATATATTCTGGGACTGAAAGGGAACTGGAATAGAGATGCTCTGTTTTTTAGCATCAGACTTAATCCATCTCAACTATTTAAAACAGTCATGTTTTAATTAGATAATTACTCACTGGTAAAGATCCAATCAGAATAACAATGTTCAACTTGCATGGTAAAAGTGATTATACACTAAAGTTCAAAAGTTTGGGGTCTGTACATAAAAAAGAAGAAAATAAATTAATACTTTTATTCAGTAAATGATCACATGTAACAGTAAAGACATTTGTAATGTTATAAATTATTTCCATTTCAAATAAATAATTTTGAACTTTCTAATGTATCAAAGAATACTGAATAATATATATTAGTTCTCACTAAAAATATTTAAAGGTTTTCAACATTTAATATATTAAATATATTGTACAATATAAATATATTGTGCACCAAATCAGCATATTTAAAAAAAATAGCCTAAAATATTTAAAGGTTTTCAACATTTAATATATATTAAATATATTGCACAATATAAATATATTGTGCACCGAATCAGCATATTAGAATGATTTCTGAAGGATCATGTGACACTTAAGATCGTTGCTGAAATTTCAGCTATGCCATCACAGGAATAAATTACATTGTAAAATATTTTAAAATAAAATTTTATAAATTGAAAATATTGTATACATTTTACTCTATTTTTGATAAAATAAATACAGACTTGGTGCTTTTTCAAAAACATTAAAAAAAACATACTGGATGGTGACTATATTTTAGTCATATAAGATATTCAGCCTTGAAGGCTGCATTGTTGTATATTCTGTTTTCGGTGGTTTAAAGTGATGTAATTCCTGTCTTTCAGGGCTGGGAGGTGCTGTAGGTTACATGCTTGGAGGGCTGGACTGGACCAATACCTTTCTGGGTCGAGCTTTTAAGGCCCAAGAGCAGGTCCTCTTTTTCTTTGCTGCCATCATCTTTATCATTTCTGCGACGCTTCATCTTTTCAGCATCAAGGAGCATTTATATAACCCCAACCAGCCAGGGGTATTAAAGGATGAGGATGAAGAAAGGCCACCTTCTGTCCAACTCTGTGGAAGCTTTCCATCCACTCGCCACTTGCCTCAACTAGAACTTATCCCTGAGGAGGAGCCATTTTCAGCCCACGAGGATGATCGGTCTGATCGGGATGTTTCAACTGATTTTCTAAACATCGAATTGGTGCGATGTAAAAGTGACTCAGTTTTAGCCATGCCAGATTCTGCCATAGAGCTTGACCCAGACCTGGATCGCGATGGGCAGTTTCTTTGGGACATTGAACCAAATTTATTCCAGGACTTTCAGGGTTTACAAGTTAATGAAACAACAGTAGATTGTCACAACACCAGCCAGCTAGGTCAGTGCACTGACAACCACTTACAGAAGTGTGATGGCAATGGGGAACACATCTGTGGAGCTGCCAATACTGTAAACGGCAATCCAATCAATGGAGCAGCGAATGCCAATAATCAACCAGGCAAAGTCGGTTTACGCCCAGTACGCCGCCGCCACCCTTCCTTCTACCGCCAGCCCTCTTTCACTTTCTCTTATCACGGACGCGTGGGCTTTCAATGGCGACGCCGATACGGCAACATGGCCAGGCCAATCAAATCTTCACAAAGCCTGAACGACATCGACAAAATACCTAGACGTCATGAGAGGCGGAAGTTGCAACCAAGTAAAATCTCTGCATCCCGTAGGATTGAGGAAGACGAAGAAAGCGAGGATGGAGATGGTGGTACGACGGTCAAACTACTCTGGTTGTCCATGCTGAAGATGCCGCCCCAGCTCTGGCGACTGTGTGTATGTCACCTGCTCACCTGGTTCTCCATGATCGCACAGGCTGTGTTCTACACAGACTTCATGGGCCAGGTTATCTTTGAAGGAGACCCGACTGTAAGAAGAGTTCTTTATCCTGTCCTTTAATTATAGTTTCTGTTATTATAAATTACAAATAAATCTTTAATTTATTTGCCAGATAAAGTCAAAATAATTATAATGATCAATTTTAATCAATGAAAAAGCCTACCAAAATTGTTAAGCCTTTGATACTTTGAGGGCGTATTCACATTTCGTTTGGAGAATTGTTTTGGAATCTGGCGTGCTTTCTCACTTAGTTTATTTTAAGGCATATGAACACGGCAATCGGGCTCGTATCCGCACTCGAAAAAAAATTAAATCTGGGTTTAAAGGGTCAAGAAACGCTAAACCCAATTTTCTGTGCGTGGGGGGGGGAGCAGTAAATGCGAGGGGGTGTCAGGGGGTATGCCCCCCGAGAATTTATTTTTTGAAAAATAAACCATTAAATGGCACTTTCTGGAGAGTTTTGTGCAAAGAAATAGGGAAATTGAGTCTTATAGGCTACTTATAGGCTACTTTGCATTGTTGTAGTATCAACATGTATTAGGGAATTTAGCATTTGCATTACTGTTAATTAGTCATGTACTGATTAACTCAAATAAATGGTTGATTTGATTTCCTTTAACTATAAAATACTAATGCAATGCAAAACAAAATCTTACATTGGGAAATAGTGGGGGAGGGACAAAAAATCTAACATTTCCCCACATTTTACCACTGATTTTTAGTGACGGTTGATATGCATGGGCCATTGGCCGATGACAGTTATCCCGCCCTCCCCCTCCCTTCCCCTGCCGTGCCATACCACCCTTCTTCTCACAGCCATCCACAACCATTTAAGTAGCATTTTTCAAAAAGATGATGAGCTAGACTTGACCTGAAAGAGAGGAGTTCCATGACCTTTTAAATTTAAATGTTGCTTTTTGAAAGTAAACTGAAACAAGAAATGCAACATTTTAACAGTTTTAAAAACAAAGCAAATGATACACATGTCTGAAAACGCCCTTAAGTCTTCACTCTTCACTACATATAATTTACTTTTGTAAAATCTAGTGTTGATATAATACAGCCTCTATTTAATGGTATCTAATACTGAATTTATTTGTATATATATTTATGCTGGATATCCTGTTGATGTTTTTCAAAACCAGGCTGCTGCTAACTCCACCGCCCTGCAGAACTACAGTAAAGGTGTGCAGATGGGATGCTGGGGTCTTGTGATCTATGCTGCTACAGCTGCCCTCTGTTCAGGTGTGTGTTGCGGTCTTGTGTTGTATTTTTGTTTGGACATTGCTAATGATGAGATTTTTTTTTCTCATTTGGGTGATCAGGTTTCAGTTCTGTATTTAGACACTCACATGACCACGTTGTGGAATAAGCAGATTTGTTTTAGGTTATGTTAGTCCTTATACATTTTGTCTTGAATCTGTAATTCCCTTTATGAAGATCAGAATGTTGAGTGTATTTTCTTGGTTTTATTTAGAATTCAAATTGTTGTCTTATTTAAATTGAGAAACGTTAACTTGTCACATATCATATGTAACACTACTGTTCAAAAGTTTGGGGGTCAGTAAGTTTTTTTCATTTTGAAAGAAAATGCATTAAGAAAAGCAAGATGCATTAATTTGATCAAGATTGACTGTAAATAATTTTCCATTGTTACTAACCTTTCTATTTCAAATGAAATAATTATTTTGAGCCTTCTATATTCTAGACTTTTTAGTCTTCTAGACTTTTCTGGACTCAATAATTGTTTATCACGGATTCCACAAAATATTAAGTAATGCAACTGTTTTCAACATTGATAATAATGTGACACCATGTGACACCAGGATCATGTGACACTAAAGACTGGAGTAATGATGCTGAAAATTCAGCTTTGCCATCACATCCAGTATATATTAAAATCGAAAGTTATTTTAAGTTGTAATAATATTACTGTATTTTGTATCAAATAAATGCAGCCTTGGTGAGCAAAACACATTTCAAAACACACCCAAAAAAAGACCAACCCCAAACTTTGAACATGGTTTCATAGTCTGCACTTTTTGTTCTGTCTTTGTTGGTGTCCAGTCTGATTATTACTGACTCAAACCGAATAATCTGAAACCTGTTTTACAGATGTCCTCCAAAGGATCTTAAACAACTATGACCTAAGCATAAAAATCACCTACATGTTGGGGACTCTTTCCTTTGCTGTGGGAACAGCTGTCATGTCCATCTTTCCAAATGTATATGTTGCTATGGTGATGATAAGCACCATGGGAATCATCTCCATGAGCATGTCATACTGCCCTTATGCTCTTCTGGGACAGTACCATGAAATCAAAGAGGTATGTATCATTTTATAAATGTATCAAATATATGAAATTACCAATAACTGGTCAAACGTTTTGAATGATCTTTTTTTTAAATGTTTTTGAAAGAAGTTTCTTATACTCTCCAAAGCTGCATTTATTTGATCCAAAAATACAGTAAAACAATGAAAAATTACTGTTTTCTATTTGATTATATTTTAAAATGCAATGTCATCCTTCAGAAATCATTCTAATATGCTGATTTAGTGCTCAAGAAACCGTTCTTATTATCATTAATGTTGGAAACATTAAACTGCTTAATGTTTTTCTACAGGATTCATTGAGTAGAACGTTTAAAATAACAGCACTTACTGAAAGTATAACTCTTTTGTCAATTTATTAGAGTCTTTACTGTCACTTTTTATAAATTTAATGGATTTTTGCTAAAAACATTCAAAAAATCTTACTCTTACACTGAATGTTTGTAGAATAGTGTGTGTGTGTGTGTGTGTGTGTGTGTGTATATAATATGGATATAGATTTGGATGATAAGCTTATACAGAATACATTTTCACTGCCAGTAGCACTTGAATTGTTACAGCAGTTATTTCAATGAGTGTCTATCATCTTTCTTTTACATTGTCATAGTACATTCATCACAGCCCTGGCAACTCACGGCGTGGCTTTGGCATCGACTGCGCCATCCTGACATGTCAGGTTTACATCTCTCAGATCTTGGTGGCGTCGGCGCTCGGTGCGGTTGTAGATGCGGTTGGCACAGTCAGAGTGATCCCTATGGTGGCCTCGGGAGGATCCTTTCTTGCTTTCCTTGCTGCGGCTATCCTCGTCATCTACCCCGATACACTTGACGATGATGAAGACGAGGATGATGAAGAGCTTGGCCCAGGTTCTGTTAAATCGGAGGCAGCGTCCAATAACAGTACAGAGAAACACAGTGTTTTAAAGTCAATCCCAAGGAACAGTTCCAGCAAGCCAGAGGTTGAATCCTCAGTTTGAGTGTTAAAACGTAAAATACTAGAGTTTTTGAAATCCCAATCCCAGAATGCACAAGCAAGTTATTCTGCGGATTTGGTACATATGGAGACTATTTGAGTCAAATATGTGAGTCAAATATTATTTCTCAAGCTATTTATTATTTGTGCCCAAACATTTCCATTGCCTACAAAGGTACAGGTTTACGTCACTACAGTGAACACATTGTTTCACATGCTAATACATTTTTCCCCACACGTTTAATCACTCCACTTTGCAAGTCAACATTTAAATATCAGATGTGAGTTTACTTTTTCAGACTGGCGTTTTACTCTGTTAAAATATGTCTGATTATCATTGTATGTCCCTCATTTCATGAGAAACACTCAGGGGTAAAGCTGCTACTTGCAAACGCAAAATGCTCACTTCTGTAAAGACTTTAACTATGCACCAAAATATTGTTTTATAATGTTTCTTGACTTTAAATAAGGCATTGCTTTTCAGAGTTGCCTTTAGTTCAAAAATGTGATTTTCTTTGGTATGAATAGAATGGATAACCATGGCATTAAGTAAAGAAATGGATTTACTTTTTGCAGCAGTGATTGGTGCGAAATGAAGAAGTGCGTTTAGCTGTCATGGCAAGTTTTACTGTCTGTCAGCCTCCGTCTTAAGTGATGACACTCTAATAGTGGCAGTATTTTTCACAGCCAAATTCATAATGTTGTTCCAGTACTGTTGCGTAGTTTATATACGGAAGTTTTTAAGACTGCTTTTCAATCAAGGCGGCAGGCCAAATTTTTCTTCACTAGTAAGTCACAGTTGGTCTACTTAGGCAAAGTGGAGATCTAAGTTATGGCCTCTTATGTTCATAAATGTTGTTTAAATGCATCGCTGGAAATGTGATGTCTGCAATTGATGTACGGAAGTCAGTGGCCTGGCTTTGTATCCTATTTTATCAGGCAAAAAATCATTGTGTTTGTGTTTCATAATCAAGGTGGACACTTTTTTTTATCAATGGTACTGCTGACTTTTGTTTTAGTGTTTGAACTAATTTGAAAGTTTATACTGTTTCTGGGTTTTTATTTGGAATTTTTGATCAGTTTTGATAAAGAGAAACCTTTACACTTTTCCCTGTCTGAATTATTGTTTGAAATTTCAGCACAGTGTTGTTAATGGTTGAATCTGAAATACATTGATGGACCACTAGATGGCGCAAGTACATTGGATACTGGGTGAAACCTAATGCACGTATGGAAGCATTTGGATAGCAATGATAGCAATCAGTAGCAATATTCAATTTTGAAATGTAATATGAAAAATGACAATGCCATTTGTAAAATGGCATTTGATTCTGTATATAAATTTGTATTTTACATTACCATTCTAGCAACGTTTGGTGCAAAATGAAAATGAAATTATATAATATACATTTGCCATTTCATACACTAGTTTTAATATGCATATTGAAACGCTCGCCTTTATACGCTCGCCTGTAACGTAAGCAAAACTGTTGCAAAATGATCATTCAAATGTTTTTATTATTATTATTATTAATTGCATTTACACTCAGTGTAAATTGCGACACACTTGCGACTGCATTTTCATGAAATGTCTGGGCGTTAAACTGTATTGTGAGTGGTTTAATCAAAAGCTCTTGTGAGAAAATATTTCTGGGTGTCACAATTCTAAGAATGTTTGTTTACGGATATTTTATGTGTTTATAACTAACTAGCTATTTTTATGTCAAATAATTGCTCTCCAAATATAATCATGTATGGTTTTCCTTCACCGTAGAGGTAGCACCTGAGAACGTACCTGTTGACTGTAGAGCGCATGCGTAGATCATGCGCTCCGCTTGTTGGGACGTGTTTATTGTCTCCCGTTCATTTCCAACTGTCCAAGTGTAATTTCACTTTCGGGAATACCGATGATCGACAAAGGTGCGTGCATTCTTATATTCTACAGCAAACATGAGCGTTTTATGGGTAGAATAGCCTACACGATGACGTTTTTTAAAACGTTTTCTCTAACTTTAGGAGGCTATGTAGGCTATTTCATACAGCTACCGGTCTATATGAACACGTTTGCAGCTATTCCTATTAGGTTAAATTAGGTTAAATACAAAAATATTGTTAATTTATGACGAGGAGGGGGAGTGAGCAGTGACTATCTAAGTGTTGCATGTTGTTTCAGTTGTGGATTGAGTGTGTTTAAAATGTGTATTGTGCCTACTTTATTTATTAAAGTATTGTTGCCTGCTTTTGAAAAAAAATTACTCTTGCAACATACATGAGTCTAATTTAACCCAGGAACTTCCAGATCAGGAAAATTAGATTATGAATTAGATTAGATTATTAGATTAGATTACAAAATTATGATACACATCTGTGACTGTGTTCCCTTTCAATATTTTACTGCTACTGCGTCGCTAGACCCTATTATGGGGAAAACCTCTTTTTCTCAGAATTCTGAAGCCTTTTTAATCACACAGTGAAACTGCACAACCATTGGTTCGTGCTGAGTAATAACCAATGGCTGGGCAACGGAGCTGCATGATCCTATGGCAGAGAAGCTCCCCAATATGGGCGTGGCATCTGGCTATTAAAGCATGGGCTGGGGCAGGCAGTGTCCACACTATAGGCACTGCATGCTACTAACTAAAACGATGGCACAGGCTATTAGGAGATCCATGGCCAGTCTCCCCCACCGGCCTATTCAGACACACCGTTAAAGGCTTCGGATAGCACTTCACCATGGCAGAGAAGTTGTCCCAGGCTACGTGACACTTCCTGCCCAAGCGTTCAAGCTCCCATAATGCTCAGATTGCCCCAGGACTGCACCGACAGCATCCCTGAAGTGTCAGAATGGGTTTTGGGGATAATAAAACAAGGTTACTCTCTACAATTCCCTCGTAGACCCCACGCTTCAGCGGCGTGGTGCCCTCCTCGGTATGGAGCAACGAAGCTCTTGTCCTCTCGTCCTTGAGGTGATGAATTTACTGGCGAAAAGAGGTGTAGAAACGGTCCCGCCAGCACAGAGTGAGTCAGGCTTTTATAGCCGTTACTTCCTCGTCCCCAAGAAAGATGGTGGTCTCAGACCCATCTTCAGACCTCAGGTGCTTGAATCGTTCAGGAGCTCGCGGTCTCCCTCAAAATCGGAGTCTTGTCCACCGTCAGGTCTTTTTAGAGGATGCTGGGCTAATACGTTAGCTAGATCTGCTGCACATGCGGCTCTCAGTTCGTCACTTCAGTCGAATTTAACCCTAGTATCCTATGCCAGATCGCCTGCTTTTATAGCCAGATGTCACGCCCATATTGGCACGCTTTGGTTTCATCAACTCTTGGCATTGGTTTCTCTGCCATAGGATCGTGCAGCTCCGTTGCTTCGCCATTTTTTTTTATACTCTGCACGAACCAATGGCCGTGCAGTTTCACTGCGTGATTAAAAAAGCTTCAGAATTCGGATAAAAAGGCGTTTTCCCCATTACAGCATCTAGCGACGCAGTACTCATTCCCGTATCTCAGGGAACCGAGGTTACGTAAGTAACCGAACACATTTTCCAGGGTGTGTAATAATATTCTTATGTTTCCACAACCATGCCTGGCATCATTGGTCTTTTAAAATGCTATCTGAGTTAGAAGTTGTCTGTAGTTGCTTGTTTGGTTGATGTTGCTTATCCCTAATATATGGGATTTGTGTAAGATGTTAATGTGTCTTTACCACATTCTAGGGTTAAGCAAACATTTTCTACTTTCAGATTTCAATTAGCATATAATGTCTCTCTCTCTCTCTGTCTCTCTGTGTGTGTATGTGTCTGTGTGTGTGTATTGCAGGAGTGACAATCTTTGATTCTCAATGGCAGACGGTCTGCCTTCAGGATTACTGGAAGCATGTGTCGTTGTTGGACTTTCAAATGATAAACTGAAGGAGTTGTCCCAGGTAGAAAAAGAGAGTTGGTAGGGTTACCTTAAACATGTAATCCATTAGCTACAAAAGACTTCATAAAAATGTATTCAGTAACGTAATCTACCACAATATAAAAATAATGTAATCTGATTACTTTTGGATTCCTTCAAAGTCACATATTTTGTTAAAGTCAAGTAAAAAGCAACTGAACCAGCTCTTTAATTCTCCTTTTCGAAATTTCTCCCTGATCAGTTTTGCCTCCATTTCTGCTCAAACAACTATAACCCGCAACTGAGCAGCTTATTAAGAGTCTGCAAATTAGTGCCTGATGAAAAAAAAGAAAGCTTTATAGGAAAGTTAATATTTCCTTTATTTTGTTGGAAAACATTCTTATAAGAATATTTTTTGTTTAGCTCATACAGTATATTCTTAGAAAGCTATGAAGTTATTAAAGGAGTAGTTCACTTTAGATTGAAAATTACCTCATGATTTACCCACACTCAAGCCATCCTAGGTGTATATGACATTCTTCTTTCAGACGAATACAATCAGTTATATTAATACATGTTGTATCCCAAGCTTTATGATGGATTGCAACCAACAGATTGAAGCTCAAAATTGTGCATCCACCCATCATAAATGAACCCAAATGGCTCCGTGGGGGTTAATAAAGGCCCTCTGAAGCAAAGCAGAAGGTTTTTTTCATTTGTGTTTTATATGGTGACCACTAGGAGGGGCTAGTCTTGGCATTATGTTTTCCTTGATTGGTTTTCCACTATATGCTGTTGTTGAATCTTATAAAATGAGTGAAACCATTGTAATCCTGCTATTATTTCCTTAAAGGGACCTTTGCAAGAATAAAAAGACTTATAAAAAGACTTTCACATACTCACGAGAAACTATCGCGCTCACGAGAAACTATCATGGGAAAAAAAAAAAAAATATTAAGACTTTCACGTGCTCACGAGAAACTTTCACATCCACACGAGAAACTATCGTTCAAACATCTTCTATAATAAAGTGATTTTCTCTTATTTGTAACCTGGCACTAAAGCGATTACCCATAAAACGTGCTTTGAACCAATCGGATTGCTGGGGTCCTTAGCTGGGACTCAACACTTCAGTGGGACCCATAGACTGTAAAAAAAAGATGGACGACGCCCCTTCGCTCTTTTCCATCAGAGAGAACTGAAGCCGTGTCTCGATATGACGCTGACATCTTGGGACCTGAGTCTGCGCACTTGCGTGTTTCGGGACCAGTCATGCGCAGTCGTGAGCAGGAAGTAAATCCGCGAAATCAAGGCCGCGCCCTCCTTCGCGCTGAATCAAACGCAAGCACACGCCCCGCAACTACTAGCCACATAATCAACATTATGAAAAAAGTCCGCTGGTGCTTCAGTGACTACCTCGCACAGAGAACCTGTCAATCACAGCTCTCAATCATAATGTCAGAGCACCGTTTTTATCATCACATAACTAACTAAAAACAAAGTTATTTTAAAAACAAACACTTGAAATTACATCAACGTGATATAAACTACAGTAAATGACAGAAACTATCTTTGGAAAAAGGATATGTGAAGTGTAATTTAATTGTTTAGTTGGTCGCTCGTCCCATTGAATAACATGGGGGGGCGGGGGTTATGAGCTATACTAGGACCGGTCACAGGGGGGCGATCGAGATGTTTTGGCTTCACTTTTGAGGGCTTGTGCGGCACGCTTGGTGGGACCCAACACTTCTCCACACTGGCAGCAGCAGCTCATTTGCATTTAAAGGGATACACACTAAAACAGTGTTTTTTTCTGAGCCCCCAAAAAGTGACTATTTAAACATGCTGTAAAAAAATATCTGTTGGGTATTTTGAGCTAAAACTTCACAATAACAAACAAACTCGATCTCTTTCTAAAGACAGAAAACATATTGTTCATGAGACATGAAGAAACAGGCACAGGGCAATATTATTATGTGATGGAATTTGTGATTGTGGTGCATCTTTTCGTTTCATGTTCAGGTTAACCCTTACCGTTTAGTTTTATTATTGTATATGGGAAATAGCTATTTTAAAAAAATCACTTTGTAAAAGGTGCCATGGTAATCTCTTTGAAGAAGAAAAAAAGAGGGGCTCTATATAAAACCACAGAGTTCTTGACTCAATTTTAAAGAACTCTCTACTGTATGTCACAAAGGTTTTACATAAGGAGAAATGTCTTAATACTTTTGT